TGTGAAATACTTTATAAAAATTTCTAAAATTTTTAGATTATATACAAATCGTTATAATTAACAACTTTTGTTATTACACAAAACAATTTGTATATAAAAAAAAATTAGTTTAATATATGGCTACGATCATCACTAAATTAGGTTAGATCTTTGTGATTATAGAAATCCAGTGATTTTTGTTAGAGGAGTGTATATTAATTATCATATAATTTATAATATCTTCTACTTTGATTTAGATTGTACAATAAGTAACTTGATAATCGATTATTTTTTTTTACCTGCTAAATGAATTTTTGCTGCTTTAAAATAATTAATTAATAATAAGAAATAAATAAAAAAAATAACTTATATTAAACTAATACCAGTATTCCAAATTAAGCTAGCTCAATTAGGCTTATTCTACACCTCATTGGCTTGTTTAAGACTTATTTCATTTATAAGCTATATAAATATATAATATATTCAAAATATCATATAAATTATACAAATAAATAGTATTTTTATATATTATATAGTATAAAAACTAAATAAGCCTTAATGAGCTAATGGGAATATTAAGTAAGCCTAATTAAGCTAGCTCAATTCAGAACACTAACTAATACAAAATAATTAAAATAGTTTATTGAGCGATAAAATATAAAAAAAAACTTGTAGACTTAAAAAAAAAACTTGCGAACTTAAAAAGAAAAAAAATAAAAAAACAAATATTTCCTGAAGTTGGTTTAAGTAGTTCAAGTGCATTGATTTTGAGTTTGGCCCCACCAAAATTTTAGAAAGATAGTGAAGAAGAAAATATTCCAATTTTGACTTTTTACCAATCTTTCTTGGACAATCTAGATTTCAAACCTGACAAAAATGATGATGTCACCAATAATATTACGGAAATAAACATTAAAGGTAGTTATAAAAGAAAACAAACACTAGCAAAAATTGTTCAACAAAGGCTGCCACCACTATTAAGCAATTTTGAGTATTTTATTCATTTGAAACTACTATGTCAGGTGTCTACTACTTGGTTGCTATCTCACCTTGAGTTGGCTCTTTTAAGCAAATTGATATATATTTATTTTTTTACAACATCCATATTAGACATGTAGTAACCAATATGAACATGTATGCATTAACTAAAAAAGCTAGAGATTATTGTAGACAGTAGCAAAACCTAATCCACAAAGAGCTCATAATTTGGATCACATTAATAATTTATCAAGAACTTTTTAAGCTTCTTTTCTTAAACAATTATGAAATAAAAATTCAAAGTTTTCTGTTCACCAAGTTTTAAAGCAAATGCTATTGATATACTTTAAGCAAATTAAAAGTTTTTTGTATATATTCCCTCTTGCAACAATTAATAATTATTTCAAAAAATTAGATCTGTTGCTCTTACATATTTGAGATACTTTGATGTATCTTTATGTACCCAGTTCAAACATCTTAGTTGATAAAATGATGATATAATTTTCTAGCAGAAGTATTTATATAGTTCAGATAAAAAACAAGCCAACTTATAAAGAGTTCAAAATTCTATTGCTTTGTAATACAAAATATATATACACTTTTCTACCAATATTACATGTTGTTCCAAGTGATATTAATAAAATAAATGATCTTAGTTAAACTGGGTCTCTTGTTTTTCACCTCATCAAGCAACTTCCCACTAACAATTTCATGCAATATATATATAGATAATTATTTTAGCAGTGTTTCTCTTTTCTAGCATCTTTGTCAGAATAATATTAGAGTCTGTAGAACTGTTCAAAGGAATTCTTTCAGATTTCCAAAAGAATTAAAAATAGAAAAAAATACCAAACTTGATTGGAACATTTGTTTTAGTATTATTATTAACAGTGTAATAGCTTTTTTTTGGCAGGATAATAGCCCTGTTATAACGTTATTAATGATATATGAACTTGTCAGTAAAGAATAGGAAGTAATACCAGAAAGACAATGGCCAAGGCAAACCAGTACCAATATGGCTAAGGTTAGTGTTTTTTAATTTATAATATTTCAATACACTACTAATAATATATAGACAATACTGAATAAGGTATATAAAATATTCAGTTCTAAATTAAAAAAAAAAACTAAAAATTTCCAAGATTGTTGATAATTACAGTCACTATAAAAATGGCATAGATCTTGCAAACCAATTGTGATCATATTATAGTATATTAAAATAGCATAAAGAATGAAAGTTACTTTTTTTTTTGGCTCCTCAATGCTACAATTATCAATGCCTATCTGATTACTAAAACTATAGAATCAATTCAAAAATACAAAGAATTCTGCTACAATCTTGTTTGGGAACTTCTAAACTTTGTTGATAATAGTAAAATTTAGCTAAGAAGTAATAAAAAAAAAACTAGATTTAAAAAAACAAACTAGCAAAAAGTAATGAAGCATTTTAAACTATCTGATAAGAGGTTGATGCCAAAAGACCACCTTGTTGAGTATAGAGAAAAGCATAAAGCATGTATGTGGTGCTCTTGGATAGCAAACCAAAAAAATTTGATATAAGTTACAAATCTCCAAATTAGAGTAACTTTTAGTATATTATGTGTGATGTACTGCTCTGTTGCAATAAAACCCAGAATTGATTTCTAAAATTCTATAAAAAAAATACCATATTTCTCTGAAAATAAGTATCCTTTTTTGCTATAAGGTTGCTTATTTTTGGGTATAATCTCAACTAATAATTTGAATGATTTGATATTTAGTTACTTATTTCTATTATATAAGAGATGCTTATTTTTGGGTATATATGAATTGTAGGAGGTGCTTACTTTTGAGGATGCTTATTTTTGGAGGAATACGGTAATAAATAAATAAAGGCTAGTTTATAGTTATTGTATATTGTTTTACATCACTTTGCAATTTTTTGGTATATTAATAAAATTAGTCATAATTGTATCTAATATAATTAATAAATTGTTTATTTTACAAACTTGAAGTCTTTATAACCTCTCTCATGTTATAAATTACTAAATACATAGGTGGCTCTTAATTGTATAGTTATTTAAATATGTATTACATAAACTAGATTAATTAGAATAGCCCCAAGAGTTTAGGCAAATTATATACTTTATTGGCTATAGTATGAATATGTGTCTTTTTTGTCATATTATATAGTTATATCGACTTGTTTTTTAAAGTATATTACATGATCTGGGTTCTTGGGTGTTATTTTAGCTAATTTAAATAAAGTTTTATATATTAAAAAATATTTTGATTTTACCTTATTTATACAGATTTTAATATATAAATTTGTATACTAAAATATACAGTTTAAGAGATAGCTTTTGTATTTTGATTTTTATTCTAACTTTGAACAAAAATTTTTCAATAACTACCTAACCAAATTTTTTTATTTGAATTCTATGAATTCATAAAATTCAAATAAAAAAAATTTTATCAAATTTTGTTAGATAGTTGTCAAGATATCTTTGCTCATAGCTTAAAAAGATTTTAAAAAAAATTTTAAAAAAATTTTGATAATGATATCTTGACAACCTATTGACCAAATTTGATAAAATCTTTTTTATTTGAATTTTAAGGATTAATAGTATTCAAATAAAAAACTTTTTATCAGATTTAGTTAGGTGTGTGTTGAGATATCTTTGTTCAAAGTTAAAACAAATAATCAAAACACCTATATAATACAAATATGTACCAATCTTTTTAAACTTTAAACAAATATATTTTGATAACTGTCTGACCAAATTTAATCAAAATTTTTCTATTTGAATTCTATAGATTTATAGAATTCAATAAAAAATTTTTATTGAATTTGGTTATATAAGTGTTAAAATATTGTTGTTTAAATTTAAAACAAAATTAAAATATTTATTTAATACAAAAATTGTGCCAAATCTTTTTAAACTTTAAACAAAAGAAATTACTAATTTGCATCTTAGGTAATTATTACCAGTAGTTAATTTGCCAAACAAATTCATTTTTTAAAAACTATATCCATTCAACTAACTTTAACAATCTTCTTAACCAATACCAAACTCAATATTCTGAAAATTCTCTACAAACCAAAACTTCAACTCACTCTCAAATTAAAGATGAATTTCAACTTATTAAAACTGTTTTTAACCATCAGTATTAGCAAAATCTTTACAATAAAATCAAGCAAAAAATTAAGAACTGTAGCAAATCTTTTATTGAAGCTTCTAAACTATTCTATAAAAAGATTCTTGAAAAATATAACAATAATAATATTGATCATCTTTTACTAACAATAGTCTACTTACAGAAGATAGTGAAATTCTAAATAAAATTCACAATTACTTTACTGAATACTTCTCTGAAAAACTTCTCTACCCAATACCTTAAGAGTTTTACTAACTCTATCAACCACACCCTGAATTTGAAACACACTACAATAATTCTTTTAAAGCTATTTCTTACCTAGAATAGCTTAATACAATTTCTAATCTCTCTAATTAAAAAACAGCTAGCTCTTTAGAAATCTGCTATAAATATATCAAACATACTAGTATCTCTGCACAAAATATTTTTAAAGCATTTGTCAACAAATGCTTTCAACTTAAAAAAGCCTCAACAAAATGGAAATCTTCTAATATCTTTCTTATCCCCAAAAAAACTACTTGGGACTTTATACTTATTCAAGTTCAGCTTATTTCTATTATTGAACCTTTCAAAAAAATCTTTATCAAGATCTTTACCAACTATCTTGACTAAATAATTTTTTTAAATAACCTTTTTTCTAACTTTAACTTTGCAGTATCAAAAAATTTCTCAACTTACACTCCAATTCAAATTCTATATGACACAATTAAACACTATATTTTACATTTCAAAACATGTTCAAAGCCTTTGATAAGATCAACATCAAACACTTACAGGATACTAGTCATAGAATTGATATCCCAGCTGATAGCATTACTGAATTACACACTTCATTTCTAGCTAAAGTAATCACTGCACATAACTTTATATTACCAATTTATATTACATCTGGTATTAAACAAGAAGAAATCTATTCTCTCCTTCTTTGGAAGATTTATTATAATCCTATCTTTACTTATATTTCTTAAAAATATAATAATTACTTTTTTAAATATCTACCTCTTCTCTACTTGATTTATCTCTAATTCAACCTCTATTTCGATTACTATTTACTACTAGCCTATATTAATGATACTGTTTGGTATTGTAAATACTCAAAAAATCTATAAAACATTCTTAATAATACTTTCTTATCATATAAAATTAGTAATATCGAAGTTAATTTAACTAAATTTGAACTATTTAATATCTCTCCCAAAGGCTCCAAAACATCTAACTATATTCCTACCTTTGA